AGCCTTTTTCTTAAAAACACTCAGCAGCCATGTTTACTGTCCTGTGTTCATCCCGTCCATTATCAATTACTTCTTTGCAACGAGATTTTAAAAAAATTGCATAACATTTGCCACATTTCTTTCTCTCTCTCACCAGACTAAACTCTTCAGAGTAAATCTAATCTGCATCCCCTCCTGCAGCCATAACAAGGCCCAGGATAGGAAGGTGGCGATGTGGGCTGCAGACATGGGGGGGGGGGGGGGGGGAGAGATATGGAGCAGAAAAACAGGTGTGTGTGTGTGTGTGTGTGTGTCCAGCTTCAGGACAGGAAGCAGAACAATGGCTTCAAGATCAGAGCGGAGCTGAGGGATGGAGGTGGAGGGACTGCTTGGTATGTTATCAACAACCCCCCCCCCCCCCAATCCACTCCTCTCTACACCTCTTTTAACCTCATTAAACTCTTACGGGGTTTTCCATCCAAACAACACTTGATGTGACGCTGAACAAAGAGGAACAAAGAAACACAATCAATAAAGGGGGGGGGCTCACCTGCATTCCCCCGGTACGCTGCACCGTCCATGCTCCAGGCTGCATCCCTGTTTGCAGATGGCTTTCACAGGAGAGAGAAGCTTCTGTTAGTTTCATCTTGTTGGTGAAAGTTGCAGAGAGAACAATGGACGGCCGAGTCGTTGTGTGACGGTGAGTCTACGGCAGCGATCCACAGTCTCCACACATTCTTTGAATTCTTGCAAAGCAACGTCGACTTCCATGAACTTCATGCTAATTTTTGCTTTTTAATTGCCTACTGTTAGTCCTGTTTGAGCTTTTAAAAGATAAGAAGAGTAAAATAAATAAGACTATTTCAATGTTTAGGCTGTTGGTATTCGATCTGCTCGCTGTGTTGAATCTGTTATCATTCAGTATGAATCAGTGATGAAGTGAGGAGCGTCGTGAACACCGTGTTGCTGCTGCACATCCTCCCCGTACCTGTTTTGCAGTCGGGCCCCGTCCAGCCCTCCATGCAGCCTCGGTTCCCCAACTGGTCGCACACGTAGTGGCCGAAGTAATCGTCGCGGGGACGGCACACTTTGTTGCACTTGACGCCGTAGTAGTTTTCGTCGCAGCGCACGCGGATGGTGTACTCCAGACTGGCGATCAGGCTTTTATACTCCACCGGCTGCTTCTCCTCGCCCGGGTTGATCATCCCTTTGTAGATGCTGCGCTCAATCAGCAGCTCATCATCTGGACCGGAGACAAACACAGTGTTTACTCAGAGGGGTTCATTAACAAACATTTCATTCTTCAGCACTGCAGAAGGAAAGAGAACACTCCGGTCAAGTGTTCGGGTCGGTCTTAAACAACAAGGAATTCTGAATGACATTCCAAGGAGCAGGGCTGGTTCCGGTTATTGGGGGTTCCACCCAACAAGCCGGTGTTTCGTGAGATAAGACGGACCGTGAGGCTTCGAAGAATGCCTGTTGTTAGTGCACATCGGAGGGGAAGGTGTGACCTCCAGCAGGAATGTGGAAGAAGAGAAAAAAAAGAGGAGGAACAAGGGGGAAAGAACGGGAACATGGCACAAACAGCGGGAGTTGGAGCGAGGTCTGCGAGGGCTTGATAACCCAAAAGGCTTTTTCACTTTTCCTGCTCGGTGAAATGATTCACTCCCCGCCCCCCCGCCCCTCTCTCTCAGGATATCCAGCGCCGACTACATCGGAGCCAGGCCGGAAATAATAAGAGCCGCGGAACAGACGAGGAAGGGCGACATAGGAAAGGACCCTTTAGCTTGTTCTCAAGGAACAGAAGAAGTGTGACCCAGCAGGGGTTACACTAATGTAAAGACGAGTGTATCATTTCATATCAACTCCCAGAGGAGATAGAGAGAAGAGGCGGTCACTGCGATGACTCCGAGCAGACTGCATGGGACTGAATTACACAACATTATATTCCTCACTTTTATAAGTCGCTAAATTTGGCGCTTTTTAGATATAAATTCGCTGAGAGGGTCTGAAAAGAATAAAATAAACATGTTTCTTTCTGCTGTAAAGTTGGGAGTGACTCTCTTTTGGAGCCGGTCACGAATGGACATTTGATGGACTGCAGTTTTTGCCACTTGGACGTTTGCCATCGGCACATGCGTGTTAAATATGACCGGCACAGAACCGGCTTAGTCTGAGACGGATCGGCTGTTTGATCGGTGCTTCTCCAGTTTACTTAGTTTGAGAAGTAGGAGAATCTTCTCAACACAACCAAAGTATAAGGTTCATCTATTGTCATTGTAAAACAGGATTGTGCAACAGAATGCAGTTTGTTGTCCCATTTTGTGACATAAGACAATATGTAAACATTACGTGGCGGAGGATGAATTGAGGAGATTAACTTTGAAGGGAGAATGCGTTATCTCTTCTTTTAAAAGTCTCTTTTTCTCCCTCTGGATTAGTTTTCTTCTGAGTTCGGATCCTTTATAAAACATTTGTAATTTTCCCCATGTAACTCACATTCCTTTATACATTCTTAATTCAGTGCTGGAGTTAGACTGTAGAAGAAAAGGATCCATTTCCACGCTGTCCTGATTTACTGCCACGGATCTGTGTCCCACACCCACCACCTGAAACGCTCACTCACTGCTGCTCATCTCCAGCAATTACATGTAAAAATATAGACCAATCATGAGCCGCGTGTGTCCCCGGAGGAGAGGCTGTTGTTACTAGGGAGAGCAGCAGAGACTGGGCCATTTAAAACCGGCTTACATAAACAACGAGCGGCTTCAGATCCGAGCAGCTGATCCAGAGCAACACGACGGTCTGGTGTGAAGAGACGCTCCGCTTCACAAACAAAGAGCCACCGCTTCACACACAGACACTTTGTGTTTTTGTTCCATGCAACGAGCTGCAACTGGAGTGTTTTTTGTGAGAGGGCTGAAGCACCTTTTGTTTTGACCTTTGACCTCTTTACTGCTCGCTCCTTTGTAACAGCGGGGACCTCTGAGCTGAAGTCCCGACCGTGTTCACACCGCCGGTTAACATAATCTCATGGGTTCCCTTCTCGTTCCCATCTGGACAACATCGATCTATAAAAAGGTCAACATTTGAATATTTGTGCCTTTTCTGTCACACAAGTGACTTCAGCACCTTTCCCACTAAAGTCACCACGCATATAAAGAAATAAATAGTGAGATTTAATTCCCGGTAATCCTTACTCGATCTTTAAAATGACAAAAATGTAAAATGTCCATCAAACAAGCCCAGAGTCAAAACTTAAAGCGAGCAGCTACAAACCAACCCTGAACATCCTCATGTTAGGATGAAGCACAGCTTTTCTGTTTAATTTACCTTCATCTTGGTTATAGATAACAGACGGATGGATACAATAATTGTGAAAGCACAGCTGGAATGAGAAACGGTGCCGGAACATCACTCTCACGTCGACTCAGCGTTGACGACCTGGGGGTCAGGCTGTTATTGAGTTTGGGAGGCGTCCTGTTCCAGGTGGTTCAGCGCTGCACCGACACACTTTCACAGCCAGTTGCTTTCCTTCGTCTTCAAGCAACAATCATGTTTTATTACTAAACGTTTAAAGGAATAGATAAAAGAGGCTAACATGACCAACGAGTGCTCTCTTCTCTCTGTGGGTTTGTTTTAACCTGATTCAGCTCAGTGGAATTCAAATGATAAGGCATGAGACATGTGGTATTTAAACGCTGTCCTGTGATTGCCAGATCTTTATAATGAAGCTTTCACACTCAGCGTGGCACACACTGCCACTTCTTCAGACATGTGAATTATTATCATTTTCATGGCTCGCATCAGTCTTAATCATTTTAAGAGCAGGGTACCGCTCTACTTTTCCGTACAGATTGGAAGTTGTTAGTTTGTGGTCAGGAGACATGAATCAGTATCTGACACAAGGCTGCTTATGTGCAGTTGTCTTGAGAATACAATAACAGATATTCTGTACCGATACCTTACCTGATATGGTAGTTGTGTTCATTTGATAAAATATACTAAACCAAACTCTCAGTGCATCAGTGTTAAAGGATAAAGGTGATAATTATATTTCTGTTATTGTCAACAAGTCACAATCTCAAGCAGAATAAATGTTTGCGTCGTACATTTTTGGAAACCATAGATATTGAATGACGACGTTTCATTAATATGTTTCATATCGGCTTCATATCACGCTTTAGGAATTCACAATGCCACGTTGTTAACGTTTGGTTATGTTGAGGCAGCAAAACCTCAGAAAAAGATCAATGTTTGTGTTCAATAATAACGGAACCTAACGATACCAACCGCCCTCAGCCGACTTTCTTATGAACGCTACAACGTAACAACATTAGTAAATGTTGATATTTGGACACGAACAACGGTCTCTTGAGTGAAAGTCCTGTGTTTGTTGGACCAATCCAGCCCATTAGTGGACTTTCTCGCTTGTTATACTTGTTTTTGTACCACGTACTGTAACTCTCAATAACGCTCACTCGTTGTGCTACGTCACTTTGAACGAACGCGAAAATGCCGGCATTCAACATAAAATGATTTCAGAGCGACTGGGCTGTAAATCTAGTGCTTAGTAGTGTCCTCAAACAGCTGAGCACTGTAGTTTTTAACAAACATTATTCAAACAGGAGGAAATAGTGCATTTGCTGGGGACTACTTTCAGCGGCGGATGAATCCACGCTTGGCGCTCTAGAGTCTAGAGCGTATTTGTGGCAGCAGGATGGTGTTTGTGGGGCTGAGTCAGAGTAAACTACAGTGTGTTTGTTCATGGTGATGAAGGAACTACAGTGAGGCTCATCGATGTGTTTTTAACAGAGCAGAAGAAGAAGAAGAAGATATACAGCATGAGGCCGTATCACGAGACTTCTCCTTTAACCCCTTGTTTCCCTTTGCTCCGGCCCTTTCTGTTTTGTTTTCTGTTTTAGGCGTCACAAAGACTCTCCGACCTGCTGCCCAGACCTGTTCACACACTCAAACTAGTAGTTACAGATATCATCTTTATGCTGATGCATCATTTCTCAGCTGCACCTGAGACAAAAAAAGAGTTATTATTATCGATTACTTGTTCAATTCATTTTCCAATTAGTTTATGAACCGTCGTGTCCACAGTCTGAGGTGATGTCTTCAGACTGCTTGTTAGTCCAAAGCCCCAAAATATTAGAGTCCCAATGAGAAGAAGAATCTGAGTGCAGCTCAATCGATTAGTTCATTCATTGATTAGTTGATTGAGTAAATGTTCAAGGTATTTTTTCAGCCTCTCAAATGTGCAGGTTCTTTTAGTCCTCTATGAAATACCTTTAGGTTTTTGACCAATTGTGTCGTATAAACAAGTCATTTGAATATAGAAATTTGGGTTTTAGGAACTTGAGACAAGCTTTGCTGATATTTCAGATAATCAACAGCGAAAAAACAGAACTGAGAAAAGCAGCAATTTCTCACATTCGAGAAGGTGGAACCATGACATCAGCACTTTTTCTGAACCAATGATTTGAACAATTAATTCATTGGCAGTATTGTTATCAAAATCATTTTCTGCCAATTGACTAACCAATCAATTGACTAATCACTCTCCCCATCCTGTGCAAAACACTAAAAACACCGGCTGCGTTTCCAGTGTTTTCTGGGCTTTACTTTACTTTAATGTACTTTGGGTCAGCTTCAGATGAAACGTGCAGCCGTGTTACGTATGAAAATACAGTTCAGTGTTCAGAGGACTTGTGTTGGCCGACAAACCAGAGGACTGGGAATAGACTTTAGGGCAAAACAAAACCTGATAGGGACATCGCTAGCTTCTTTTTCCAGTGCACACCTGGCCCGTATAACAGACGCCAACTCTCTCTCTCTCTAATCATGCCACAGCTTCACTAATGCTGGATGCGACAGGTTCATGCCTGCTCGCTGAAGTTGGTCGAAAGTGTAGGAAATCCCAAAGTGAGGCAGGAACAGGAGAGCGAAAGTAGACACAAAGAAGTAAATAACATTTAATCTGCCGAAGTGAATCTGCTGACCGTCACAGACAAACACCCACGGAGGGATTCAGCTTATTATAACATTGCGTATTGTGTATTTTTAGCTTGTCCAGCGTGAGTTGAACAAGAAGCAGGTAATGTTTCACTTTGAAGGGAAACTTGGCCGCCGACAGACTCAGGAATCCAAATTGTCGATCACGCAATGAGAAAATACTCAGTCCAAGTCTACAAGACGGGACACGGCGGGTCGAGACGTCAGCACCTCTCCGCCTGCCTGCGTGCCACTGCCTCCGAACCTCGCCCTTCCCCCCTCCGTGAGGATTAACAAAGCATCCCTCTGGCCACATGTACCGGTGGTTCGAGCACGCAAAGCGTCCAGAGCTGTCCGTCCAGGCCGAGGCACGGCAGTCTGGATGCCAGCCGGTCTCGCTGTTCGGGGATAATGAAGTGCCGTGCGGTAGCCGGACAGCTGTCGGGGGCCGCTAATTAGCACACAGACATCAGAGGAAAGAGGAAGGGGACGGGGCCCGCAATTAATGGCTTAACGATGCAATGCTCTCACAAGCTTAATATAGAGGAAAGAACAGTCAACCATGAAGAGGGTGAGAAGCTGGAGTAGGGAGAGCAAATAAGCGACCTGTCAATCAGAAGCAGGAGGGAAGTCGAGCCTCGGTCCTCTAAGATGTCAAGTATGAGCTTCACATGCTCGCACAGAGCAATAACCCCAAAACATGGCACACACCTACCATTCCTTTCATTTCAGTCAACTCATTGCAGGTGTTTCATATCATGAGTCAGGTCGGCTGGTTGGCTCTCTCTCCAGTGTTTCTTATTCTGCTTGCGGCAGCAGAGGCCAGCTAGGTCTCGTTAATGCATCGACGGTGTGACTAAGGGCCCGGGGCGATCTACGTCACCCAGTACAAATATCTACGTTGATCTGCATAACCAACAAAGACCAGGTCAACGCGTGCATTCTCCAGAGAACTAGCTGCAGAAAGTAAGAGCATCCCGGAGCGCTTTACTAAGACGGCAGCATCAACTGTTTACTTGTTGTCTTCACCAAAGCTCGAGGAACGTTTTTCTGTTCGTAGGAGTATTCATAGAATGAATGTTTCTTCATCTCCCCCTGTGTTGAAAAGTTATTTCTGCACGTCTGCTGTTCTGGTGACTTTGATATTCGTTCGTTTTATATTTTTTGTTAACTTTAACGGTTATGTTTGAGCGAGAAAATGTCTTTCACTAACATTACAGTTACTGTCTGCAAATTCATTTTAAGTATTTTCCTTTGCTCCACACTGATGATTGATCATCTTAACTAGTAATAGAATATCATCACCATTTTAAGATATGTAAGTAAAAGCATCGATAGAGATACATCCCTATATGTAACATCGTAGCAAAAGCAAGCCGTACATTTATTAAAAAATAAATAACAGAGAACAGAATGATTCAGCATGGAGAGCAGCACACAAACCCAGTGTTGGTGATCCTTACCATTGCTGTGTGTGCCGTTGTCTCTGTCCCACGCCTCCACTATCACTGTGTACGCTCGCTGAAACACAGGGGGGGGGGGGGGGGGGGGAGGCAGAGGTTACCACAGTGCACACCAATACAGAAACTCTTGACGCAGACGTGCACACGTGATGTAGAGTCTGTACAGAAACTCAAGATATATGAAGCACCGTCGCTCATAAACAGACGGCAGAACTTTCACACACATATTTTGCATAAAAGGTGGATAACGCTGGGAGAGTCGGTCCCGTTCCCACGCTGCTGTCACTGATTAGCTCCCGTCTGCCCCGAGGCTGGTTAACGAGTGCAGCCACGGACCTGCTTTGTTATGAAATCCTGGTTTTCCTTCTTTGTCACTTCTGGATCATTCTGTCGATCAGCGTTTTATTGACCTCAGAAGGTGTGCGCTAGTCTTTTCCTTGGCTCCACGGGGGGGTCAGGGATTTGATGACTTGCTCAAGGGCACTTTGTGTGGTAATGCATTGATTTCCAATAGGGGGAACTTCTCCACCGGGATCTGGACTCAGTGTGCCTCTTAATTTAAGTGGCAGAGGAGACACTTGGAATGATGGAATCGAGAGTGTTCAGGAGTGCTTGTTCGGGTTTTTTTTTCATTTATTTAATCTAAAAATGTATCTTACATTAAAGGAACCGTGTGTAGGATTTGGTAGCATCAAGCGCTAGCAACTAGCGGTTTGGTTTGTCCGTTCTGGGCTACTGTAGAAAAAGCGTAATGTAGATATGAAGGGCTCATTGTAAGCTAACGGAAGCACACAACAATTTTTTGTTTCAGGTGATTACACACTTAAGAAAACATAGATATGATTATATGAATATTAAATATTGTATTCCATTTCAGCTAATAGATCTCCCCCCCAAAAAATGTGCACACATGTGCATGGTGGCTGCTGTGCATTTCTTTGGGGCATTGGTTGTATTTGTCCTCAGAAAATAAGACTTTGCCTTCGCTGCGATGATGAACGTCAGAATGTGAAAGAAGGTCAGCATCAGACTGAGTGAATGAAAACAACACAACATTGTGAAAGTATTGAACAGTGGTCACATTTACAACGTGTCAAAGCTGCAAGAATCAAACCACAAAACTACCAATCTGACCAACTTATCAGACACTTTTTGGTATTTAATCGCCAGAAAGAAATGTTGTCATTGTACATTTCTGCAAACCACCAATACGTCGAACGACCGTGTTTTTTCATTCGGTCACAGCTAGTGACGTAGTACAACGAGCTACTGTTATTTATAGTTATGAGTGTAACAAGCAGGAAAGCCCACTGATGGTGGACGGGTCAAACAAACACAGGACTTTCACCCAGGAGACCGATGTTTGTGTCCCGTGTGAAACCAAAAGTCAACATTGACTTGACGCTCGTTACGTAAGAAAGTCCACTCAGGGCGGTCGCTATTTATTTACCGTGTTACGTTTTTATTGAAACACAAACCTTGATGTTTTTTTCTGACCGTAACCAGGTAGACTTGTTGCCTAAACACAACCAATAGTTTCCCAACGTTAACCACGCGTTATTGTGCGTTTCTGCAGGCGTGATACGAGGTTAATATGAAACATATCTGTGGTTTGCTGAAACGTACAATACCAACATTTCTTCTGACGGCTGGGTTGCCACATTAATATTTCGGTTTGATGGCTGCTTGAAGTACAAGCAAAGAACGTTTGATTGTCACCAGTTAGACTTACTCAGTATTGAGCTGAACGTAACACATTCCAGTTTATAGCATTGTATTGTGTTAAAGAATGCCAACTTTACATGCCTTCTTACTCACTATTGAACCATGATACGTGTTTCTGAGGATATTGTGTGTGAAGGCGCAGCATGCCTGCACACTATGCCCTACTTTCCTTCTTTCCTACTTTGCAGAGGAGACAGACTCCTCCATCCCACAGCAACAAACTCAAACTCTGGATTGTTTCAGGTGCACGGGCAACAGCAAACAAACCCAAACGGAGCTCGCCGTCCGTCGACTGCATGGAGCCGGACGAGCAGCTGTGAGTTCCCATGACCCAAGTGTGACTCGGGGGGACTGAGAGCTGCAGGGAAGATTACAGGGGAGCTCACAGAGTGGAGAGATTAGAGACAGAGAGAAGACAGAAAGCCACGATAAAGCTCGTTCTATGGTGCTCGGATTTAAGGGTAGGTCATAGTTTGGAGACGGAGAGGAGATGCAAGAGAGACTAAATCACGAGATATGAAACCGAGTTGTTACAAGTATCTGGTTGATGCTGTTGGGTGTGTTCACAACATGCAGGTTTGGAGCTGTTTAGGCAGCAATTGGGGAAAATCCCATTCTAAGCACCAGAAAACTACTCGGCTACAAGAATCAACCTCACAAGAGCGGCAACTATTGATTATTTGTATTTTACTAAAATGTCCATCAGGATCTTGAGTTAATATGTCAAATGATACGTTAAATAAACTGTGTCATGGCGTCAGTCATCATTTCAATGATTGCATCCGTACTGTGGTTTGCTGGTAGCTTCCCAAGTGAGCAGCACATAAATGATGATTTACGATCTCATCTGAGAGTGAAAACGATGTGCTGACAGTTCGGCTGAATGTCAAAGACGACTAAACAAAAAGATTTGTTCTTTCCCGATAACCATTCTGATACCTGAACTTGCCTATCGGCCGATGCAGAGTGCTGATCTAGTACCAGTGCGTTAAAAACAAAAATAAACATTATTATCTTTATTTTGAACAGCTGTTTACCACTTATGGATGTGGTATGATTGCTACACTCTCCACTAGCACTGGCCTGATCGCTACTGAGCACGTGCAACTCTTGGGAAAACGATCGCCGCGCCTGAAATCGATGATGGAAGAAGCTAACGAGTGAGCCGCCTCGCTTCTGACTCACTCTATGGTGATTGTTGCACATGCTCAGTAGCGATCAGCAAGATGTAGGGATGTGACGGCGAGTTCCTTTGTAGCGTGAATGAGCTGATAAATGACACCGTGATATCAGATCGATCCAGCATCTCAGAGGCACTTCTGATACTGGTATCGGAACAACTCTCATAAATAAGTAAGGATATTAATGTGACTCAGAGAAGGGGATAAAAGCAAGAACACTCCTTTCACCTCCGACACCTGCTGACCTAATAGAAACCAACTAAACTGTTCAGCATTATAACAAAGACCTGGATGCGGAGCAACTCAAGACCCCCTGCTGGGTTAAAAGTCTGTCCTGTACCTCCTAGTTGGTCCCTGAGCTGGAGCAATCTCACCAAGCTGCTGAATCCACAATGGGATCAAATGTGGGAGAAGGTATCCAGTAGATGTTTCAGACAGGTGTCTGTGTGATGTCAGGTAACTGTCACAGCAGCATCCTTTAACCTCAGAGAGAGATCACAGACAGCATCACTGTAAGATGAGAGTATAGTACAGAAATAACTGTGAAACATTTAAGACGAGAAATAAGCCACGCAGATGATGAATATAGTATATACAATGAAGACATCGTGTTTTTATTTTGCATCTGATTAAGTACAACAATGAATTTGACTAAATTTGCTAAACCTACATTAATATTTATTTAACACTGTTTTTGTCTGCTCACTACCAGATCACAGATATGTTAAGATGTGGAACAGAATCTCAAACATGCAACACCACCCTGAACTTATCTAGACATGAATCAGAGGAGCTGTATGTGAGAACACATATGTCCGAATCATTCGGACATTAAACAGACTTCACCCTGCCGGCTATGTCGTACAAAGTCTGTGTAATGTCCCGTTGAGCTCATGTGTGAACAGAGGTGCTCATTGTTCCTAGAATTCACAGCGAGCGAGTGTGTTGGTGATGTTTCTTTCATGCGGCCGGCGCAAAACCGAGAGACAACAAACATCCGAGGGTGAAGAAGAGGAAGAAGAAGAGTCCTTAATGCGAAGACGCCAACAGAAAGTCTAACTGGAGAGAAGACAAGATTCGGGAACTTCTGTCGCTAAGGGCCGACGCCAAAACCACCAGAGAACTTCAAGGAACGGCAAGACGCTTGGTTGTTTATGACCAAGTTACGAACCGGCTATCTAACCAGGCGGCAACCTCCGGTTCTGAAAAGTGAAGCCGATGCTTCATGTGTTAAAGCTGCATTCTCTTTAGTGTCCATCAGGGGGCGACTCCTCTGGTTGTATAGAAGTCTATGAGAAAATGACTCTACTTCTCTCTTGATTTATTACCTCAGTAAACATTGTAAACATGAGTTTATGGTCTCAATCTCTAGTTTCAAGTCTTCTTCAATACAGCATGATGTTCATTTAGTACATTATGGTCCATTTAGAGTCACACAGACCATAAAGCAGGGGATGCTTTAGGGCGGGGCTACACAGTGATTGACAGGTGGCTACCAGAGCCGTATACGGCGTCTCTACGTCACTCCTCCTCAGTCCAGACATGGTCACTTCCTGTTAACTGGTTGCAATGGGTGAGGATACGTCCACTTCTTATACACCGTCTATGAATGTGACGGAGGTGTAATCCGTGTCACGCTCAACCCAGACGTCATCCCTCGACTAAAACCAAACTTCTCCTTGGAAACAATCTCCGGAGTTTATGAGACTTCAAATTATAGTTCCAATCCCTAATAACCGCCCCCCCAAAAAAACCATGACATCAGCCCGAGGACGACATCGGCTCCAGATGACCCGGCCGTGATTTATGAGCCCAGCAAGCGGCACATAACTCTGTAACGAGTGAAAATAAGTGGACATTATCATAATCAATCTTTCCCTTTGTAATCAATTTTAAATGTCACAGCCACTGGCTCCCAGACAGATGGGGCTGTCCCACGGCCTCAGAGCAGTGTGTGTGTGGGTGTGTGCGTGTGTATGTATATGTGTGTGTGTGTGTGTGTGTGTGTGTGTGTATGTATATGTGTGTTTGTGTGTGTGTGTGTGTGTGTGTGTGTGTGTGTATGTATATGTGTGTTTGTGTGTGGGGGTGTGTGTGTGTATGTGTGTGTATGTTCCTGTGCGTCCTTGAAGGACAGGAGCTGCAGGATCAA